TTGAGTTGACAAACTAAGATCAGAGGACAGGGCTAATTTGGTGGCTTACAAATGTCATCAAAGCTCTTTGCATTTTTCCATTCCACTGTCATCAAGACATTTGCTTATTCCTTCACAGGAGCACGAGAGCTACTATAGTGCTAAGGATTACATGTAGACAATTACTGGCTACACATTAGGGAGGAAAATGTTTTCCAGAAACTCCTCAGCAGATCTTCCTTTCAGTCCCTTTGGCCAGGATTGAGTCATATGTCCATGCAAGGGAGGCTGTGGAAGCAGTAACATTTCCAGCCTGTACTGCAAGAGCTGGTTCTGCCAGCCAAATAGAAAGGAAAGGAAAATGGTGATTGGACAGGCAACCGGCAGTGTTTGCAAACACCCTTAGAGAAATATTAATGCATTGATAATCTCTGCATAATGAAACTCCTCCATGTCCAAATAGATGAATTATCATAAGAAAGGTTTGCTAATCTGGTTATAACAAATAATCCATTACAATAGGATGTGTTTGTGCTAGAGGTTGGAGAGAAGAGAATTGGAATCTCCTAGCTCTTTAACCAATAAATTGTAAAAACTTCCTCTTCCTCAGATCCTTAGTGAAATATCACAATCTCTTCTACCATCATGACCACCACAAGGAAGGAAAGGCAAGGAGGGAAAAAAACTAGCCTTTTTTAGCTTCCATGTATCAATAGTTCTCCAAACACATTAAAACAGACAAAAATTTCGAGAGATTTAAAAACAAAAATGGAAGACAAAGTAGCTATAAACCTTTGCCGTTTCTCCTAGTCTTTGCTACTTCTGACAGGATAGTGGGCCTTGTGTCATCACCATCACCACCATCACTGCCATTACCACCACCTGTTTCCAATTCTGGAATCAGCATAGAAACCCATCAATGGGGAACCACTTTAAAAAATTCTAGTACAATGGAAAACAATGCAGCCATTTAAATGGAGGTGGACCTGAATAGGCTACCACAGGAAGCTGTCAAGCTAAACTATTAAGATAAGTGAGATGCAGAGCTATGTCTATAGTACACACTCATTTGTTCAAGGGGCAATGGTGGGGTTTATATAAATGTATACAAATGTACTTTGTATGGAAATTTCTACAAGGATATTTTAGGAACTGTGAATGGTAGTTATCTCTGGGGAATATAACTGGGACTCTGGGACCAGAGGTACTTTTTATTTTATAGTCTCTTTTTTGGTATAGTTTGTTTTTATTCACCTTGTTTTACCATTTTTTAAAAAGTCCCCAGTGCCCACATCCTCAAAACAAAACAGGCAAAATTATGCAAATACAGGCAAAATTTCATAAGCGTACTCAAGGTACTTCCTTGTTTCCTCTTAGAACCTATGATTTTACTAATAATAGCAAAATAACTGGCCTGAGTATTAAGGATAGTAAGCATTTTTGTAATGCAAACTAACTTGATGAGTTAGTATATGCGATTACTTTTAGAAACACTTCCTACTGAAAGAGGGCTTTTAAATCCAATTTCCGAAAAAAGTAAAATCATGTTTTAAAAGGCAGTTCTAAAAAAAATTTGATGGAACTGAGCTGGAATTGCCAAGTCATAAATAAAAGTTTTCAAATAAAATCCCATAAAAATCATGTATAGTAATGTTACACAGAAACCGGAGGCCAAATCAGTCAGGGCTCGTGCCGCCTGCACCACTCAGACAATAGATGGACACGGGAGCTGGGCCATAGAATAAGTGTTGTTTATTATCACAGCACCCGGTGGTCTGAGAAGGCAGTGGGTTAACACCTCCAAAAACTGCCTTAACATTCTCAGACCGGCGTGGGATGTTTAAGGGGAAATCTGGGCGTTCCTCCAGAGGCTATGTGAGGGTTCGGGGGGACCTGCACAGAGCCTTCCCTGTGGCCACGTGATTCTATGGTGGAGTCAGCAACCCAGGAACAATGATGAGAGCAGCCTGGAAAGAATGCTGGACCAATTGTGATCAATAAGCCTAAGAGTATTAATCATAAGTTTCAGGGTAATTTTCTAAAACAGGGAACTGGGTGGGATATGGGACATTCCGAGCTCAAGCCGCAGGGGAACGATCTATTGTTAAGCTATAGGTAGGTCAAGGAAAGGTGAGGCCTCCACTGTGGGGCCTCTACTGTGGGGGTCCCAACCAGGCCCTGCTTCAACATTATTCTTATACAACTCTTTCCAAAACACCATTTCCTCAAGGGACCAACACTACTGAAACATTTCTACTAAGAGCTCAGTTTTCAAACACTCATAGCTTTGAATCCATATTGGGTGGGTGACCATGTTTCCCCCACAGGCTCTTCATGAGAGCATCATAGAGCAGGTGGACAGTGTGTGACAGGCATATATGTCCCTACCTATGGTAGCCAAAGAGTCACAATGTCCATCTATTAGTAACTGTTTCATATAGCTCATGTGACTCCTGAGGGCTAGATTGTTTTATTTGGGATTCTCAGGTGTTCAAATCTGATTTTGCCCTTTAAAAATGGTTTCTGTAACAACTACGAAAAGCAATACAGCTATCTCCTAAAGGGTCAAGTTTCTCATAAGCCAAAACAGGATAGGACTACTTCCATTAAAAAAATTCTGTTTTTTGATGGTTCTAGGATTTATTTTTAAATGACGCAATGCTGAAATCAGATTACAGAATATATCTGGACTGCTTGCATTTAATGAAATCTTAAAACATTAAAAATTGTTTGGCATTTGAACATGCACATGTCCTAGGGACCCAGAAATTCCATTCCTAAGACCAAAGGCCCTTGTTCAGAGAGTGCACTGAAAATATTCACAGCAGCAGCATTCACAACAGAAAACAACAACAACAGCCACCCAGAAATAACCCAAAGGTCTCCAGGCAACAGAAAGAACAGACAGGCAGACAGACAGACAGGGACAGATAGATATAGATATAGAGTACATTTGTACAGTGGAATGAAATGAACCTAGATACAAGAATTAAAATAGATAAATCTTAAAAGAAGTCATATGCATTATGAATTCCACTTCATAATGGTTAAATGCAGGCAAACTCTTGTTAAGGTATAAACGCAAAGGTGGTAAAATAATAACGAAAAGCAAGGGAATGGTTAATACAAACCTTAGGACAGTACCTTTTGAGGGTAGGAAGTCTTGTGATACAATCAAGGAAAAGGTCATAGGGTCAAGTTTGATTTCTTACCCTGGGTTTTAGGTACAGGGGTAATTCACATTATTCTTTAAATGGTTATCTTCTATGTGTAGTATTTTACAAGTTACAAACATTTAAAATTAAGAAGTTTGGAATAAATTGCAAGGTAACAAACTAAATGTGTGCATGTATGTGTATGTGTAAGTTATATGATAAATAACATCTTATAATCCTATTGCTCCATCTCTGGCTGTATACTTAACTCTTTGGTAATATGTTAAAATCTAAATTTGAGGCCCTACCTAAATTGTGACCTGGACTCAAAGGCCCTCAGGCCATCACCTGCCATAGGTCCTGACCTAAATCCATCTTCCTGGGTCTTTATCCTCACGACTGGTTCACACCCAGGAAGGTGAAGGATGAAGTCAGGAGACAGCCTCCAAATGTCCCCAGGCTACAGATTAACCCTCAAGCAGCCCGCAAACCAACCCAGTTTGCACTCTGGGCAACCCATTCCTCAGCTGGAGGAGCGGAATCTGGAAATGGAAGAGCTAGGAGGGGTGGGCCTGCATGGAGAGGACTTCCGGGAGGAGCTTGTCACCCAGTGGCTGGCAAGGAGAGACCCCTTCCTACGTCCTTCTGAGCAGCCTTGCACAGAAGGCAGCTACAGCTGTTTTACAAGCAGTGTGCTAGCAATTCGGGTGGCAGTTTTCCCCTTTCATTCTAACAGAAACCATTCACATACGTCAGTCTCTGTCAGCTGTTGCACTCAAAATGCTAAGAAGCTATTAAGATGCTTTGCTGTTAGAACAAGTGACCCCTCAACATTTTTTTTAATAACAAATTTAATCTCCAAGATGCAAAGGATTGAATGGTACACAGAAAACTCTTATAATTTTCCATACCCCTCTCCCACCCCCAATTGTTTTAGTTTCTAAGGGATAGGGATCTTTATCAACAATAAAGCCCCACTTTGTGACATTCTAGACAAATCTTTGATGCAGAACTAATTGAAAACAAAATGACCTGAATTAATAAATGTGGTCAAATATTTTAATGTCCAGAAAATGAAAGAAAGGTTATATTTATTTAGCAATAGACCGAATTCTGCCACGATACAGACACACACGCAAAGCCACAAATTGAACATGGATTTCCATGACATCAAGCAGCTCACAGGGGCAGTGTTCCAGTGACATGAAGCTTTCACTGCCCCACAGGGAGCCCTGCATCTGTCACCACGGGGTGTCTGAGGATGGCCAAGGGGCCCGGTTCTTCAGACCCACACTCCGCTTCCCCACTACGGCTTCCTCTCCCAACCCACAGCCTGGAGGCAGCCACCACGTCTTTCTTCCTCACCGTGGGCTGACGGTGGCTGACACTGTCACATAAAGTCCGTTTTACAGAGTGAAGTTTCCAGAGAAGGGAGAACTCAGAGGTAGCCACTTGCCAAAAGATCAGATGTTAAAGTACAAAGTTAAGTTCCAACTCAGTCTGGTTAGACCCACGATTACTTTCAAATTGACAGGGAAGTGGGAACAAGACTGGCTCTTTTCCAGCCAGCAGCCAGCACACTCAAACCCAGACACTTGTTCGTCTGTTAAGTCACATGCGCTGGATTTACACTGTTAAAGGACCAAACAATAAGGCGCTGGGTGGTCCATTAGGAGTTCAGACAACCTAAGTACCTAGAAACCTGCTGACAAATTAGGGAGGGATTTGGGCAACACAAAGGCAAACAGTAAGAGCACAAAAATAATTTTTTCTTTCAAGCCTCTCACAGAATATTAATGACCACAAAGCTCTACAATACATATTTACACAGTCTGGTTGAAATGGGAGAGCAGCGCAGAGACTTACCAAACGCCACACACACACATAGGAGAGCGGACCAGGATCGGCAGTCAGCTCACCCTCCTGCCTGCTGGAGAGGCTTCTGAGTCTGCATGGCAGGCAGGCAGGCAGGTAGATACTCTCTCAGCACCTCCATATGACTCACCCTGGACTCCGGAGACTGGAGATCACGTATCTCCGGGTAATGCCTTAGAGAAACTCCCTACCCTGCACTGCAATCAGTTAAACTGCCAGCAATCATACACTGCATTCAACCCATTGCTGGACAAATGGGCTCTTTGTGCGGCCAGGAGGAAAATTACATATTCTGCATCTTTGCAGGGAGGCAGGCTAGAAGGGAGTCCTGTTATCACACAACTCTGGGATTGCAAGAGAATCTTAGATGACATTCAGTCGAGTACTCCCGGTTTACCTACGAGGAAACCAGGACCCGGGCTCAATTCAACAAACTCTGATTGGATGGAGTCAATGCGAGGCAGTGAACTAAGCACAGGAAACCCCAACATGAATGAAGGCAGAATGAGAAGTGGTCCAAGCACCTAGGGAAGGGCAGTGGCTCAAAGGCAGTGAGTGGAGTCAGGAGCGCTTCCCTCTGTTGCTTCATTCATGAGACATGCTCACTGGTGCCTTTGTGTGTCAGGCGCAGCGAGGCGTGATGGAGTTGCAAAGGGACACAGCCTCCCACCCCACCCCCCCTCCGTCTAGTGGGGAGAGAAACAATGATAGTCACTGATGAGTGCCATGAGAGGTGCGCATGGCGCTATAAGGGGGCACTTCGGACGGGCAGCAAGGAGGGAAGGGAGGAAGGGGGAGGGACAGGTTAGTATAAGGCACGAAGAAAGGCTTGTCACAGAAGGTGCTTCAGGTACAGTGAGCTGTGAATCAGTCAGCCAGGCAGCAGGTAAGGGTTCATGTCAGGCAAGGAAGACATGGGAAGAACTGAGTTGGCAGACAGGAGTCAGACCCTGGGGGTTCCAGTTAAGGTATCTGCATTTCAGTGACAGGCCAAGTGGCGGCCGCTAAAGGGATTACAGGGCGATCAGATCCCTGTCTCAGACAAGTCCTTCTCAGAAAGCAGGAGAGAAAATGCATTTCGGTGGAGCAGACCGGAGCCTGCTATAGTAATCTAAGGCAAGAAGTGGTGAACGCTGGAGGGAGGGTGGAAGCCAGGAAGGAGAGAAGGGCGTTTCTAGTATACAAAGGAGGCAGCATCACAAGCAACTGGCTGTGGGGATTAGGAGGGGGAGTCCAGGAAAACCCCACTTCTGTTTTTCATTCCTTCCGGTGGCCAGCAAGATCAGTCACAAGATAGGCAATTGGAAAGAGACTGGAGGATGTGGAGGTTGGTGGTCAAGGAGGACTCAGCTTCAGACATGATGCATTTGAGATTCCCAGGGACATTCAAGCACGGATGTCCAGAGGAATGCTCAGAGAGACAAAGGGGCTGAAGACAGAACTGGCAGCGGCAGCCTCAGTGCCTGGGAGCAGCTTACTGACGCGACAGGCTGGGACTTACGGTCGGGCAGACCTGATCAACTCCCAGTGCTGCCATTTAATAGCTGTATGACCTTGGGCAAATAAATTAATCTTTTAGAGACGACTCTCATCTGAGGAAGTGCCTCCTAGAAATTAATGAGATCAGAAAGGACACACAAGATATTTAATACTTTTCTCTTGCCCTTTCCTGACCATATACTGCTTTCTTTGTATGATAATAATTTGAGTACTAACCCTTGAAAGGTTACCAGCTTTATTGTTGTCGGTCACTCGTCTTTAAATTCCTTTTGACCTTCCTTGTAGGAGCAGATTCTCCAATATTTGAATTGCCATAAATCATATAAAAAACTCAGGTCACAATGGTCTTGTGGACCAGGGTTTTCCTGACCTTGACATTCAATAAATAATGCAAAGATCTCAAAATTGTTAGGTGGCTTAAGTGCTGTTGATATAATTCTGTTTGGAGATGAGATGGGGGGAGAAAACGGCAATGGGGTTTGGCAAAAAAGAGAATTCTGTCAGTCTAGTAAAGTCTAGTAAAAATAATAGAACATTACTCTTTGCGTAAAACTATACTGTAATATTTGAGAGCAAGCATGTTTACCAGAGCTAACACTGCATAGCCTCTATCCTCTGGCTCAGTTCAAGTAAAGGCCTTAAATAAATGTCAAATAACAAATTCTATCAAATGGATCTTGCCTTAAACTAAATGCTAAATCAATAGCATTCTTTTTTATATAAGAAATATATTATTTCTTTGCTAGTCTCATTTTGCTTATTCTATTTACAACTTAAAATGAACATATTGAAACTACAGTAGATTTAAAAATCAGACTGGTTTGATGCACATAGCCAGGTTTGTGCATTTTTCTTGTTTTTGCCTTAAATTTGGGCTCCAAATTATCTCACCTATTTTTATGGCTGCATTCCTAGTCTGAAAATGTCTTGGGTCACTGGATATTTTATTTCATTCCAAACTTATCTGCTAAAACACATTCGGGATCACGTCTTCCTTCCTACTACCCAATCCTTCCCTGGTAGCTTCGTGATTTCACTCTTTCATCTACAGCCCAGTCCAGCATTCATACTTCATGTTCTGTGTGTCAGTCATAAATATCTCACACACAAAATTCTCAAAGTTTCTCATATAAAATTCCTTGAAAACTGACTCAAAGCTCTCTCTCTGGTCATTTGGCTCATTTAATTATTTTGATTAAACGCGGAGAATGATTCGATTCAGAATCTTTGGAACTTGTTTTATTCCTGGCTGTCCTCAACCCGTTCACATGTGGTGTGGCTTAAGCATGATTTAGTTTGAGAGGGCACTTTGGTCCCCAAGTGCTGGGAAAGAACATGTACCCTCTGTCCACAATGTGCCTAGCTCTGACCTGAGGTTCTTCTGCTCTCGGATTGTCTGGGCTCTGGATAGCTCCTTTTAAACTCACAACACACCTGGCCATCCCTCCAGGCCAACGCTTAAGATTTGACACCCACTGACATTTAGATCCAAGATACCTCCCAATTCCTCCCTGCCTTGAATAGACTTGAACTTCCCAGACGTGAATACACTCATTTTCTGTGTATTCACACAATCCTCTATCTTGTTGCCAGTAGGAGGCACATAGATGGCGAGATAGATGGTATCTGCCACACCAAACCAGCAACATCCCCATGCCACCTGGCTCCTGGTCTGCACAGTTTTCCCTCAGACACTAAGGAGCTGAACACAGCACACAGTCTGAGTGAGTGACTGAGACACAATTCTCTCAATTTAAACATTACTTTGGATCACACACACAGATACCCCGTGACTCATACCAGAGGTGCTGCTTAAAATGAAGAGCATCTCATCACCATAATGTTTCACCCAAAACTGGCCTACGGCACCGACCAAAGGAGCAGGTCGTATCCAGGAAAGAGCTTACCATAACCTAGAGCATGATTTCCTCAGTGTCACATTCGGCTCCAGTGCTGTCTGACTTTCTCCAGAGCCCAGTTCCCGTTCTATGACTTCGTGTGACCTGAAAATTCAGGGTTAGTGCTTGCTTTACTAAGCCTTTCTCTCTTTCCCCTCTGAACACCTCAGGTGCCTTTTAAAGTCTCCTTTTCCTTATGAAATACTCATTTAATTCCTTCAACCAGAGGCCCTGAAGCGAGTCTACGGTTTTGTCTAAGTAGACAAGGGTAGTTAGCTGCTTACCTGCTGCAATCGAATCAACGGGGGCAGGAAAGCCTTTTGAGAATAAAAGATTTCCCCAGTAAGTTGGTGCAACCCTTTGGAAGGACATTTTGTTCCCATCTATCCTCATTAAAAAGAAACATCCCCCTTGACCCAACAATTTTGCTTTTAGAAATTTATCCATATATGGTTACAGAAAAAGATGTACAAAAATATTCAGTACAGTATTACAAAGCAAAACAAACATGGAAAAAAGCCACCCTAGAAGGAACTTAAATCATCTATCAATAAGAGACTCGTTAAATAAACAATGGTATTTTTCTGCATCACTGCGCAGAAAACATTTCTGTAAAGATGCATAAGAAACATAGCATAATAGTGCTTATCTCTGAGGATAAAGACAAGTTGGAAGAAGAAACTTCATTTATCGCCTTAGGCCATTTGGTGCTACGGGATTTTTTTCCTATGAACTTACACTTTTTACGTTAAGCTAGTTAATATTGGGAAAAAAAGTGAACCCTCATAATTTAGGCTTATGTGGATGATCTACTAAACTCTCCACTTAACAGTGTTATTTAATCTTTTTTGTTAAACAGGACATTGAATGAAAGAGGCACAAATAGAAACTCTGTAAGGGCAGAGGGCAGATTTACAATAAAATGGGTTTGCTCCAGCAGTTAATGATTTCATCATTAAACTGTGGAAACCCGTCTTAGAGTCTCAGATGGTCAGTTTTTTTTTTCTCTAAGGCCCCTGCTGTAGGTGTTATAGGCTCTTCTATAATCTAAGCGGCTCAATTATTGAACCATCTCCCTGGTGCAGAATAAGTGTGTTTACACTTAAAGTAGTTTTTACTCTGTAAGTTGGGGTGACTTTAAAAGTTATTTTAATACAAATAACTTTTAAAAAGCACTGATAGGGAGTTTGGAGCTAGCACTGGGTGTAAGCAGAACCCTCCAGGCCATCCCATCAAGGCAACCCCTCTGGCTTATTTGAGGTGGTGGGGGACAGTGTGTGAGAGAGCTATCTCTGGGGCTGGAAGCGAGCTCCACAAGTGTAAACCAGTGTTTCCCAAATTGTGGCTGCAATCACCTGGTTCCTGAGCCGCCTGGACCCAGGGTTCAGGGGCAGAACCTGGGGATCTGCATTAGACAGCCCCTTTCTCCCTCCCACCCCCACCCCATTCTTAGGCCCAAATAAAGTGTTGTGGCTGCTCGCTCCCGGGCCGTGAAGGCATTCAGGAGTCAGGTAGAAATAGAGAAGGAAGATTTATTAAAGTAAAAGGAGGATCAGCTGGGCAGGGTCTGCTGGAAACTACTGAGTCGAATCGTTGTTTGGTCTCCAGTTTTGGGTTTTCTAACCCGGATGTACATTGCTTCGGCCTGTAGTGAAATTCTCTATTGAGTTTGGCTTTGTCCGTTGGGTTGGGGGAAGGTGCAGTTAAGCTGGTTATCACAACCTTTGCGTTATGGTATATAGATTTAAGTTGAAGCTAGGAGTGGATCCCATACAGGTGCAAACCCTCTCCCAAGTCACAGGGCCAGCACTGGGCCGAAGTAAATAGAAACGATGAAACTGATCTGCATAGTAAATGTATAGGAAGCAGG